ACACAGAGGAACAGTAGAAACGGCAGATACACTCTTCCAGATATCCTTGTGTGCCCTTGACCTCATTGTGAGTGGCCTTAGGAGCCACCGGCCCTTCGCTACTGCTTACCGACTAAGCGCATCGTATACCTTAGCGAGACTCAGCAGGGCATGCAAAAATCGAAAGCGACAGTAGACGCGATAGTTAAAAACACGAACGCACCTCCTCCGATTTCATATCATACAACTGACAGGAAAGGACATGAAATATTTCATCTGCCTCATCCAGTTGGCTTTGTAACTCCGTCAGCCGTTCCAAACCTTGCATTTCCTCCACAGTTACATCACCCATAGACCGTTCAAATGCCCGTTCACAGGCACAGTTCAAGAGTTCAGTGGCATCTTCGATATCAGCTGTCAATGCCACCCTACGAAGGTCGTTTCCTTCAGTAGTTGCCGTGATGGTGGCGAGGTCAGAGCGACAAGTCGTTAGCTTCTGCCTTAGTGTGCTGAGGGTCGCAATTCGGGATTTGACAGAGTTTTGGACCTAAAAGAGGAAGAACACAAATAAAAGTTTAACGAGAACGAAGTTGGAACGAACCGTTTAGGAAAACAGCCTTTAAGAATAGCACGTCTCCCAAGAGATACCATCAAAAGGAATGAACGCTTATGCGACCATAATGCATAAAATCCGAATAGAATCCCAAACAGTTTGCAGAAGTAGTTGGCGTTATTCCCGTTGTTGCTGCCCTGACTTTCTGGTGACTACTTGGTGCGTTAAGGAACTACCGATGTGTTAGCCAAATGAACGACCGTTAGAGATGGAGGCCCACAAGACTCAAGTGCTGCAGAGCGCTGACGTATGCACTTCATATCTACCACCGCTTCCAAACTGTCAATAAGAATTTCGGGCACGAATCGCACTTTTTAGACGTTGGCAGTCCCAATTTAATGACAGCACAACTAATCTTCTCCCTCATTTCCAAACACCACCACCAGTACAGCACCTGTAAGTATGTATATATCATCCTTCTAAACGTCACTATGTCTGGTCTGTCTAATCTGACCCAGAACAGCCAGAAGTCTATGGGTGTTTTCGGTCATATGCACATACAGAACGCAATTCACCACAGTCGATCCGTATCTTACACCCGAAACCTTCTCTAGCACCGGCACTACCGACCTCCTCCTCACCAGTGTGGCCACACTCACTACAATTACACTTTGTCTGTACTACTAGCATATATTTGAATCAGGCAGCTGTCTTATCTTTGCCAATCTATCGCACCGCTACTGAAGAATCAG